AGAGACTTGGGCCCTGGAAAAGGCCATGGGGCTGGAGGACTTTAAATTTCAGTCAGCTTGCTTGGGAGGACAAACTCCAAACACATGTGGCTCACCTGGAGGCCCAGTAGTCCTGCCAAGATATGTCCCCACAGAAAAGTTTTTTTCTCGCTCATTATTTATTTATTTATTTATTTTTGATGATTGACAGGTATTTTATCTCCCCTTTCATGGGCTCTCTTTACATTAGTTCCTGTGCATACAAAGTTGCAGGGTGGTAGCTCTGAATATTTTGTTTTTATGAATCTTAGCAAACGTTTCAATAACTGTACAAAATGTTTTGTTGCAAGGGAATGAGAAGAACCCATGTTAATTCCACTCTCTCACTTATGGTTGAGAACACTTGGGCAAGAGATTGTTTCTCAAACCACTGGTTTCTATTTGAGGAAACCTTTTCTTCCCTTCTCTTCGGATTGAGCTCCTCACATTGATTTTTGTGATTTTCCCTGTGATGAAATGACTGTGTCCATCTGTGCTTTTGTGAGAAATGTCAGTATTTTGCTAGTGCAAATTGCATCGATTCTTCTGGTTGCTCTCAATAATATAATCATTTACACCATGTCATTTGTCAGTCAGAGTGTGAGCCAGTCTGTTTCCTTGTATACTCTTATTTTTGTTTTGTTTTTTTCTTGAGTGCCTTAAATTTCCTCATAAAAATGAAATCTTCATTATTTCAGCTTATTCCTAGACCTTTCTGAAGCAACCTGAATGGGTTCAATTTCTAATTTACTTCTCAAATTGCCGTAGGTTTGTAGGAAAACGACTCATTTTGTGTGTTAGTTTTGTATTCTCCAAAATAGTTAAAACCCTTGTCAAGTCTCAAGAGTTTCCCGTGGCATCTGTGGGGAGTGTTTTCATCATTAAAGAGGAGTTTGGTGCCTTTGTTTCCTAACCTCATTTCCTTTTTGTCTTTTGCTTTACTTGGATTTCTCTAGCTCACTCCTCTGCCTCTGCACTAAGTGGAACTGGAGAACACATGTACCTTTCTCTCCTTAAGGTTTTCTTGTAAATGCTGTTCCTTTTTTCTCTGTACTGTATGGTTTGCTTCTGTGTGGCACATGTTTCCTTTACTGTGTTGATATGTGTTTCATTTCATCCTAGTTCCTTAGGGACTTCTTCATAAAATCTTGTTGAACTTTGTCTTAAAGATCTCCATTTCTATTGAGATTTTTACATTGCAGGGCTTTTGTTTCTGTTATGATTTTTAAAAAAATATTCCAGTTGGTAAAATTACTGGTAGGATTTTTCTTCCCTCCCATTAGAAATAATGGTCTGTTCCTTTTGTGAGTTGGGCATGGTATCTTAACCCCCAGCTCTCTGCTGTCCTTCTACTCTTTATGTGAAATGTCTTTATTTCCTGGGTTAGGGTGGATAATGTCTCTGATTTTTATATGTATAGTTTACCTTCAGTTATGATCTTTAGTGCTGCTGGACTGCACGACCTGTGTTATTTTGTAACTTTCTTCCAGTGAACTTACTTTCCTGTGGATTTTAAAAACCAACATTTCAAGGTGCAATTTATAAGACCTACAGTTCTTTCTTTCAACACTGTAAATATATCCTTCCCTGCTTTCCTAGCTGGAAGAATGGTGATAATACCTCTGGTATCTTTTTCATTCGGGCGTTTTCTTAATGCTATTTAGAGCTGTCTGTAACAGGGTTGTAATAATTTTAACTTTTTACTTTTTACACCTTGTTGTGACATGTAAAGAAGAGTTCCAGTAGTTGTTCCTGAGACAGAAACTCAGAGAAGAACAACAGGAAGGATGGATGGTTCTTCTGCAAATGCACCCCAGGTCAGTGTCATGCCCACACTTCTTTGAAAGACATTTTTTTTTTTTTTTTTTTTTGATGGTCTGGGTCCTCTGATGGAGAAGCCACAGCAACCTTGGAAGCTCAGCGTGTTTATTAGATACAGCTGAATAAGGAAGCAAGTCTACCTACACTGAGGAGGAGTTGTTTCTATAGAACAGTCTTCAAATAGTAAACATTCCAGGGAGAAAGCTTCACATCTTGGGGGGAAAGCTATGGTAGGCATTTTCTCCACAGCTGTCCACATTCACAGCCAGAAACATTGGTTCTAGACATGGCCAACTCACAGGTGACCAATACACACCTACTCGGGTGTATTTAACACCCTGACTGCTTCCCCCGTGCTCCACATCAGAGACAGTGGAATGACAGAGAAATCACCCCCCGGGGAAGTAACTGGAATTAAGCAGAAATGTATCTGGCTGCTTCCTTCCCTATGTCTGTTTCTCCAAAGTCAAGTTTCACTCCATGAAGAGCTCATATCTCCAGGCTGCCACATTCAACCGTGTAGGAAGACAGAGCCTGTGCCCTGAAGATCAGGATCTCACCCTAGCCTGGGAATGAGGGAGAGAGGTTCCCATGTCAGAGAGGTTCCCTGAGCCAGGCCTGCAGCTGGCTGTGTAGAGAGAGACAGCAACAGAGGGACAGACTGTGCTGACACAAACAGTGCCTTTTGGGAGATGAGCATTATGGAGCATTACAAGGCAGAAAAGTGACATCTGATAAATCCTGTGAGCACCATGCATAATCACAGACTTTACTGTTCCTTTGAAGCTTAAAAAAAAAAAACAAAACTATTATGCTGGGTGTTGGTGGCACACGCCTTTAATCCCAGCACTCAGGAGGCAGAGACAGGCGGATCTCTGAGTTTGAGGCCAGCCTGGTCTCCAGAGCGAGTACCAGGATAGGCTCCAAAGCTACACAGAGAAACCCTGTCTCCAAAAAAACAAACAAACAAGCAAAAAACAAAAAAAAATCTATTATTACAAAAACCAACCTGTTTTTATGCATAATTTAAAAACTACAGGCAAATCAAAACAAAATTTTATTAACCTTTAAAGATAATATAGACATAGATAAAAGAATAAATAAAAAAGGAAGCAGAGTGGACACCTTTTGGAGGGACCTGCCAAGGAGTGCCACTCAGCAAACACACTACATGCCACAGAGTTAGTGCAGAAGGTTTACTGGGGGAGGGGGAGAGCAAAACCGTGAAAGACCATGTTGGGGTGGGGTCATGAAGAGGCGAGAGAGAAAAGAGGAGGCCACAGAAATGAGACAGGAGAGCCTGCTGTGCTTTGGCGGGCACTCTGTGAGACCTTGTCCAGTGCTAGGAGCTGGGAAGGCCCAGGCCCGGTTGAAGCAGTCTGTGTGGTTGGAGCAGTTTGGGCTAGCCATTTTCTTTCTTTCTTTTTTCTTTTTTTTTCAGTTTCATTTATGTTTATCACAAAATGTCAGTAAAACTTATGAAATGTAAGATGACACTCATTTATATTCTCCAGACAAATCAGCTTACATCCTACATATAATAATAGCATTCCACTGTGTTGCATGATAACAATGAACACATTGAAACAGAAAACAAATGTCTGGCTTTCATCTAAGGATGCTTACAATTTAATATAAAATATTTATCTTAAAAGCCAGTCATAATGGGCTTTATATGGTAAACATATATTAGAAGTGAAACAAAGAAGGGGAAATTAATATTTGATTATCAAAATGTTTCATTGACACTCTTAAGACAAACTCAGCTGACTTATTGCAATTATTTGGACATCATTTACACCAAATTCCTGCTAAAGCAATGTTGACAAAGGAAGACATGATCACCATATGTCTGTGGGTGAACCATTTTCAAGTTCTTCAGGGTATAAATTTTGAGAGGTCATCTGTCAGGATGCTGGCAGAGCAGATAGAAAGTTAGGAAATTCAATGGGGGGTTTGTTAGGTCCTGGCAATTAAGAAAAGGGAGCCCCAAGATCAGGGAAATGTAGGGGAGATGCCACCCACAGGAACAGGCAGTAGGTGGGAAACTCAGGCTATTAGTTAACAGTACTTATCTGGAGTTCATTTGATGATCTGTCCAGGGTGGATTCAAGTCAACTGTCTTCAAGATCCCTGGAGCTTACAAGAATTTTCAAGAATATTTTTGGGTTTATTAAAAGAGGTAAATTGTAGACACAGTGGCATTCCCACTGTTTATAATCTGTACCGACACCCACATTTTAGAAAAGGCAGTAGAATCAGGTTGTAGGGGATCCAAAATGATTCTAGTTAAAAGCATTAACACTCTATGCTCTTTCCAGGAGACTGGGTATATATAGATTAGGCAGATGTTTTTAGCACAAAAGACAAGCCCTTTTTAATGTGTACTTAGACAACGACCAAAGGGAATTTAAAATCTTGAGGTTGTTACTCTGATAATTGTAGTTAGTGGTCCTCTGCAGAGCTAGATTAATAGCTTATCAGAACTCTATTGGTTACTGTTAAGACTATGAACTTTTGGGGTTTTAATATAACAGTAGATTAGTGAGAAAAGAAACCTGAAACACTTTTCGTTCATTTACATCCCTTAAATCGCTTTTTTTTTTTTTTTTTTTTTTTTTTTTTACCACTTACACCTTTTGGTCCCTAGGCCTTTATAACTTGCACTTACACACCTTAAAATACCTTCTTCCTAATTCACCAGGAGATGCAGGTGGTTGATTACTGAGGGCAGTCATTGCAAATTGAGTTCCTTTCAATAAAGGAATAGTAAAGAATTACATTGAAGTCTGTTCTGTGAGTTTATCTCTTTTTCTAAGTCTGCTCGCAAGGTAAACTGTGTCTAGACCTAGTACTGTCTCTGGAAAGGAGGGCCCTGTGGCCTGATATTCACACATGAAGAGAACAGAGAGCAGCTGAAGCCCCACATGCAGCTATTAAACTGACAAAGCCAGACGAGCCTAGTCGTCAAACATCAGAGTTCTGAGAAGGGTAAATTTCACCTGGGCAGGCAAAAGTGCAGAGCAAGCAGCTCCCAAACCTATTAGAAATGACAGAGACTTACTGTCTACCTAGACAGTTACCCCGTGGTCCTCTGTGGTTGTTGGGGGTAGAGGTTTCAGGGAAGCATCAGTCTGCAGCTGCCAGGTCCAGAAGATCTGACAGACTTTCCTGTGCAGTAGGAACTCGGGAGGGGAGGAAGGGACATGACCTTGTCTAGGCAAAGCAGGGCAATTGATTCCCCAGTGCCCCTTTATTGTCCATGGTCCGAGCAGAGACTTGGTAGCAGCTGAGGTGAAAGGCAGTTTTTTTGACCAAAGACTGGCATTGCCACATGTAAAGCAAGCTTCAGGCTGGAGTTGCCATACATCCTCTTTGGAGGAGATAGGGGAACAGCCAGGATCTGGTACGTCTCATGAAAAGCTTTTTTATTACACATTTTAAATGCCATATTCTACAAAGCTCTGAAGCATTTAAGGACCATCTACCTACTAGGTATATCTGAATAGACAGACTTTACTTGCTTCTAGTTGTTTGTTTTAAGCTTAACTTTGAAAATGTATACAGGGGACTAAGTAAGGCTCATCCCTGTAATTAATTATATTAGTATTTAAGATGACTACACTTAAAGAATTCGATCATTTATAAGATAACTATTAACTTGGGTTCCTTAACAGTCTACTATAAGTTAGCATCTTTTATAAGACTAGGACTTTCCATTCCATCTGTGTAAGCTGACTTATTTATCCTTAACAGCTTACAGTAACTTAGCTTTTGTCAGACTAGGACTTTACATTCCATTCCTGTGAGGTTTAGCCTTAAAAATAATGATTTTGGATTAATTCTCATCTAGTTTCAAAATAAAACTTTTTAATCATTCATAATGGTTATCTAAAATAGCTATTCTATGGCTGAAAACAGAGAACAAGTTTGTTCCAGACTGCTAAGGCAGCCTCCCGAGAAGGCAAGGAAATGTGACAGGAAGATCCCCTCCCAGGGTGAAATGGGATCAGGAGAAAAAGGGGCCTGTGACCTGGGGTGGGCCCTATGAGCAGGGACTGAGGGAGCCCAGAGGCCAGCACTGCCCTTGAACAAAGCCCTGGGATCCCTGCCCAAATGCTCAACCTTAGGAAAAGAACCCTCTAGGAGGACCAGAAACTCAATTATAGAATATATATCTTTTTTATCAAATACCTTATTCACCAAACACACGTTGCCATTTATCTAAATTCTCTAGACACTTGATGCGGACACTAAGCAAAGACATAAGTACTTAGCTGTGTTATCTCTAAGTCAGCTTTTGTTAATCTGAGTAGATCTTTATACCGTTAAATTTTTATCACCATATAGAGTGGATTCTAAACCATAGTTGAATCACATTATAGTATGTTGTGCCAAATATAACCTTACATTTCCACCATCATATAAAAGTCCATACCAGCTCCTACTCAATTTTCTTACCTTCCTCTCCCAATTTGCTCTCTCTCGCTCTCTGTCTCTCTCTCATCTCTCCCCCTCCCTCCCTGTAATAAACTGGTTGATGTAAAAAACAAAAGTCTGTACCAATCCAAACTGAGACTTGTTGCTTCCTTAGTTTAAAAGGAGATACCACGATCAGAGATCTCATTAGGACTAAGAAGTTTCACATGATATGTACTCTGTAAACTTTGTAAAAGATGGTTGCCACCCACGTACGTGGTCACATATATCATGATGAGGTCCCAGGTGGAAGAGAGCCAAAGGTTGCTATTTAAAACATGTTTTCCTAAACAGTAGTTGAATCTAAGTTACATGGACATACATGCACAGAGTTGAAGCCAAGTTATGTATATATACACACAGTTAAATCCAGCTTACTTTCACACATTCATAGAGTTAAATCCAAATCACATACATGTACACATACACAGCTTAAACAGGAGTTGAATCTGATGTGTATACCATTGTGTAGAATTTTAACTAGTAGCCTTTTGTCATAGTTTAAAGCCAAATTTTGTGGCAAGTTACATAGATTTTTAAACCAGACCCAGTGAGTAATTTGCAAATCCTGAGGCCACTGTTAGAGCATAGTCTTCAGATGTTGTTATTTTTGTGAGAGCAGAGTGCAAAGAAATCGTAGAGGTAAAGGGTGTTCAGGAATGGGAAGTAGAGCCTTTAGAGGTGAGGGACTTTGGGAGTGTAACAGAGCCTGTTCAGGTATAAGATAATTAGGGGCCCTTTGTCTGTAGCGATAGCAGTTGTTGGCAATTTGTGAGAATTCGGGAGTCAAATTTCCAATTTTGACCATTGATTGTATTGAGTCCAGGGTGTTGTAATAAAATCTAAGTCCGTGGGGGAATGGGGAGAGTCACAAACACTGTGCAAGTGTGTTCTTCTAAGTTCCAAGAGGAAGTTGCCAAGGAAAATGAGCGGCAGGATTGCAGGCGGAAGCTGAGAGATAGCAGAGTGGGTTTGCAGTCTGGCTGCTGGGTGAGAGAAAGCCTGGAAGGAGCAGAAGAAAAGGGAGCAATGGACCAGCGTGCCCCAGAGCCTCTTAGAGAATACAGTGGGCTGGAGCTTAAGCTGTGCGTCTCCCAGTCTGCTGGGAGATGGGAGAAAGCAGAAGAAAGGGCCACATGGGTGTAGCAGGCTGCCGGAGGCAGACAGGCATATTTGTCCACATGGAAAGTAATGCAGGGAGAATCAAACCCTTAAAATTTGGATTTGGATTCACTCAAAGGCAAGTGAACCGTCCATACCTTACTGACGATCAGATCTCCAGATACTGCAGGGGAGAGGTGGCGAGAGCTTAGCAAGATGAAGCTGAACTCTCTCTCTGACTCTCACATTGCAACAAACATACAAAGAGGACATTGCAAAGTTTAGAGAGGGAGAGCAGACAGAAACAAGCAGGGCTTAGAGCAAAGAAAAGGAAAGAATGTGGAGAATTCTTTCTTGGTTCCCCGACTACCTGGTCCAAGGCATCCTGTGGCCAGATTTGATTTGAAAAGAGTGGTCAGATGGTCTCCAAAAGATCCCCCAAAGGGAGTGAGGTATATGACACAGTTCCCAAGGATGATGCAGAGAGAAGTCTGAAATTTGAGCACCTAAGGCACCTCAGGGTCTAGGAGGACTGAACAGAGCAGGCAAAGCTGTTCAGTGCATCATTCCACAAGAACAGGGACAAAGTGCTCTGAGCCCAAGAGAGACACAGTTGCCTTTTACCAGGATTTGGAGAAAAGTGAGAAGGTGGGGACTGTATTCAAGAAATGAAGCCTCACATCCAGGGAATGGCCAGAGGCAGGGAGCCCCAGCAGAGTCCCAATTGCCGGGTTCGAATGGAAGGCAAAGCCACTGGTGAACCAAAGAGCAGATTTGTTGCAGGGAGAAGAGAGCAATGTGTTGTGGGTAGAGCTGGGCAGGTAGGATGAGCCTGTTAAGTCTTGGCACCGATGAAAGGATAAAAACGAAAGGTGAATTGGGTGCCTTTCAGCAGCACTACCAATGTATGCCATAGACACACACGCCAGGGGCAACAGTTTATTGGGAGAGGGGCAAAGCAACAAAGTGAAAGGCCATATTGCAGTCAGAACAAGAGGTGAGAGAGGAGAGAGGATGCAGGAGAAACGAGACAAGAGTGAAAATTGTCTTTTCATTGGAACCATGCATGCCTTAAATATCCTGTCTCTGCTAAAGTGTTGATTTCCTGTGATGGTTGTCATTGGAACCATTGCATGCCTTAAATATCTTGTCTCTGCTAAAGTGTTGATTTCCTGTGATGGTTGTCATTGGAACCATGCTTGCCTTAAATTCCCTGTCTCTGCTAAAGTGTTGATTTCCTATGATGGTTTTCATTGGAACCATGCATGCCTTAAATATCCTGTCTCTGCTAGAGTGTTGATTTCATATGATGGTTTTCCTTCCTTTTCTTTTCTGATAATTAAGACTGAGCCTTTAAATTTTGTCACCTATTTGCTCAGCCTTGTTTCACTGTATGTATCCTACCCCGATTATTACTGTGAGGACATACATTTGTCATGCACTTAGGACTTTTAATTATGAACGAAATCCCATTGTAAATGATGCTCAAAGAAATACATCGATGCCCAGTTCCTACAGAGGGTGGACTTGTGTCCTTATATATTAGTGAGGAAGGAAGGTCTCATGCACCATGTGCCACATAGGTTGTGTTTCAGGGATGATAAAGTTTCTAGAACCATCCTATGAAAGTATCCCTAGAAATCCATGGACCCTTTGACTTACATCACTGAGCAATTTAAGGAAAAGCATAACTAGATGAGACTCAGGGTCTTGAATCCTAGTAGTAACGATTTCAGGCCCTTGAGAGCACAGATGAAGGAATGCATACATGGCTTGCTTTTGCCATAACACTGCAGGTGGTTTGATCTGTTGGGGGTCTGGCAGTGGGACCAGGAGCTACCCTGGGTGCATAAACTGACTTTTGGAGCCCTTTCATTATGGTGGGTTACCTTCCTTAGCCTTGATACAGGGAGAGGGGCTTGGTCCTGCTTCAACTTTGTATGCCAGACTTTGTTGACTCCCCTCAAAAGGTCTTTTGCCCTCTAAAGAGTGGATGGGAGCAGGGAGGACAGGAAATGGAAGGAGGACTGGAGTTAGTATGTAAAATGAAAAAAGAATTAAATTAAAAAAAAGCCACAAAACAAGAATATCCACATAGCCTCCAATAAAGTACACTCCTGTGTGTAGACCTCCAATGTGTATCTCATATGCCCTCAAAGTTTGCTGATTGTAAGTCTATTTTCATCCCTTTTTCACAGAAATAGAAAATACAAGAGTCTGAGGATTCTAGAATGTATCTTTTATTAAAATTAACTTTCACTTTTACTTCATTTGCCTGAATGTATGCATGAGTAATATGTATGCACTTTCCCGAAGAGTTCATAAAAGATCATTAGATCTGGTGGGACTGGACTTACAATCTATTGTACATGGTTGCTGGGAACCGAACGTGGGTTATCCAGAAGAGCCACCAGTGCTCTTATCTTCTGAACCATCTCTGCAGCATTGTTAGAAATTTTTTTGTGTTTGATGCCTCATCTATATCATTGAAAGTGTCTCTAATTCCTTAGGTCTCTTTTAGCTAGGAAATCATTTTGTCCCCCAGCACATGGTAAATGAGTAATTTTCCATTGCAGGGTCTGTTGACATTCAGGAATGTGACTGTGGACTTCTCCCAGGAGGAGTGGGAATGTCTAGACTCCTCTCAAAGGGCTCTGTACATGGATGTAATGTGGGAGAATTACAGCAATCTAGTTTTTATAGGTAAGAGTGCTTTACTTGTAGAATTCCTCGTTCATCTATTGTATTTACCTTCCTTGTCAGTATGTAAACTTTCTGATCTGTCTAGAGACAACCTGAATGTTGGAAAATTCTGATACTTCATTTTTCATTCTTCTCAGCAAAAACAACCAATGCTGTATACTGTACAATCTCTCCTATGCTCTCATATATTTTTTAACCCTAACTAAAGTGTTCAAAGAAAATTGAATATCTAAAGCAAGGAAATGCATTGCAGTGTAACACTTACTTGTTGCCATGTTTGGATTTTATTCTTGGATTAAGCTGTTCACCTGTTTCTTTTTTTAAAAAATGGAGATTTTCAAATAGAGAAAGAGCAGTTGGTGATGTGCATGTGATTGGTTTTGCTTTTTTCATTTTTGAAATATGATCTCTAGTTCTGGCACACCATGATTTAAATCTTATTACTAGGGAGGCTGAAGCAAGTGGGTCTGGTGAGTTCCAGGCCAGCCTGTCTTACATACTGAATTCCTAGGCAATGAAGGCTACACAGTGTGATTCTCTCAAAAATACAAACAACAAGGGAGGGAGGGAGGTAGGGAGAGAGAGAGAGAGAGAGAGAGAGAGAGAGAGAGAGAGAGAGAGAGAGAGAGACATTCTCCATATGATTGTTAAGAGAGCTTCTTCCTCAAAGTACATTATTTTTCCATCACCTGTTTGTTCAAACTTCTGCAAAGTGTGAGGACTGGATAAGAATGAAAAGACTATTATTGGTCCTTGTGGGTTGATGGAGATGAGAGTGCAGGTTCTTCTGAGCATCCATTTAATGATAGTGAAACACAAAGGGCCTCCAGTGAAAGTTCTATTCCTCTGATTTGCTAATTTGTTTGTCTTAGAGAACATCACTTATTGCATCACTTAGGCTGCATCAATTATTGAATCTGTTTCATCAAGCATCAATCCTTATTATCCCTAATTGTGCTCATTTTCCAGAGAACCATTGCATATGTGGAAAATACGAGAAGGTCTTGGATCAAGGCTCAAAGCACATTGTCCATGAGGATGTGAATACCCAGGAGAAGTCTCACAAATGGTATGAGCTTGGCAAAACGATTCATGAATCCTCCCAAGGTATACCTTATAACACAAGTGGAACTACAGAAAACTGCCAGGACTACAGAAGTGGTAACCACAGTGATGCCTCTATTGAGTCATCAAATCCAATGTTTGGGAACACTGCAGAAGAACAATACAAATATCAAGTTTACGGGGAGTGTTTAAATATGTGCCCTATCATTAGCCAATATCAACAAATCCACACTGGAAAGAAAGAACACAAAAATACAGAGTATGATGAATTTTTTGACTATAACCATGAACTAAAGGTGAAACAAATCCATAGTGGAGAAAAACCATACCAATGCAGGAAATGTGGAAAATATTTCAGGACCTATTTGAGCCTCAGTAGACATCAGAGAGCTCATCCTGGAGAGAAACACTATAAGTTTACAGAATGCAGTAAGTCATTTCTCTATTTCTCACACCACAAAGCACATTATAACATCCATTATGGAGAAAAACCCTACAAATGTACAGAATGTGGCAAGTGCTTTTATTATACATTGGGCATTAAAAGACGTTACAGAATTCACACTGGAGAAGAGACTTACAAATGTAATGATTGTAGAAAACGCTATATATGCTGCCTGGGTCTTAGAAAATATCAGAATATCAGTGGAGGAGGAAGGCCTTATGAATGCAAAAAGTGTAGTAAGTCCTTCTATACATTGTCACACCTTGAATACCATTACAGAACTCACAGTGGAAAGAAAATTTATAGATGTAATGAATGTGGTAAATCCCTTTCCACCTCCTCAGGTCTGCAAAGACATCAAAGAATTCACACAGGAGAAAAATCTTACATATGTAGTGAATGTGACAAGTGCTTTATCCAAAAGTCCCAGCTTAAAACCCATCAAAAAATTCACACAGGAGAGAAAACTTACAAATGTAGTGAATGCGAGAAATGTTTTTCTGTTGGTGCATCTCTTAGAATACATCAAAGAATTCACACGGGAGAGAAACCTTACAAATGCAGTGAATGTCACAAATGCTTTATCCAGCAAGCCCACCTTAGAAGACATCAGAAAACTCATACTGGGGAGAAACCTTACAAATGTAGTGAATGTGAGAAATCTTTTTCTGTTGGCTCAGATCTTAGAATGCACCAGAAAATTCATACTGGAGAGAAACCTTACAAATGTAGTGAGTGTGACAGATGCTTTATTCAGAAAGCCAAGCTTAAAAAACATCAGAGAATCCACACAGGAGAGAAACCTTACAAATGTGGTGAGTGTGAGAAATCCTTTACCGTTGGCTCAGATCTTAGAACACATCAGAAGATTCACACAGGAGAGAAGCCTTACAAATGCACTGAATGTGACAAATGTTTTATCCGGAAAGCCAACCTTAGAAGACACCAGAGAATTCATACAGGAGAGAAACCTTACAGATGCAATGAGTGTGAGAAGTGCTTCATCCAGAAAGCCAATCTTAGAACTCATCAGAGAATCCACACGGGAGAGAAACCTTACAGATGCAGTGAATGCGGGAAGTCCTTTACCGTTGGCTCAGATCTTAGGAAGCATCAGAAATGTCACACTGGAGAGAAACCTTACAAATGCAATGAATGTGACAAATGCTTTATTCGTAAAGCCCACCTTAGACGACATCAGAGAATCCACACGGGAGAGAAACCTTACAAATGCTCTGAATGTGACAAATGCTTTATCCAGAAAGCCAATCTTAGAACACATCAGAAAATCCATACAGGAGAGAAACCTTATAAATGCAATTACTGTGACAAATGCTTTATCCAGAAAGACCACCTTCGAACTCATCAGAGAACTCACACAGGCGAGAAACCTTTCAAATGCAGTGAATGTGACAAATCTTTTGCTGGTGGTTCAGTTCTTCGGAAACATCAGAAAATTCATACTGGAAGAAATCTTACCAGTACAGTGAATTTGACTAACCCCTTATCCAGAAAACCAACCCTAGAGCTCATCAAAGAATTGATACAGGAGAGAAACCTTATAAATGCAATGTATATGGCAAACTCTTTACCTGTCTCTCAGGTCTAAGAAAAAAATCGGAAAATACATACTAAAGAAAAAACTTTCCATCGGAAGTAATATGGGATATACTTTATACAAGCTCTACCCTTATGGACCATTACAGCATCCACACTAGGGAGTCATTATGTACATGAGAAATGTGTGAAAGCCTTTGAATAATGTTCGAATCTCAGAATACTGAGGAAAACTTCTGCAAGTGTGATATTGCAGGAATATTTTCATTAAAATGTTTTATTTTCTCACCTTCAAATAATTCATAATGATTACAAAAAGGAGAAGCCTGAAGAATGTGCTGCTGTTTGTCAGTTTTCTGGAGCCTGAAACATTCCCTCCTGTAGGGAAGCTGATTAAGACAGTAAATAAAAAAAATAGCTTCAAGAAGTCCCTGAAGCTTTCAGGAATCACTGTGCTTAATTCCATTGAAGAAACTTATCCCAGTCTTGCTGTTTAGAAGAAGCTTTGGTGAATTGAGCCAGTAAGATACAATGATTGCCCTTTGGCATACAGATATGCCTACAGGTGTGTAGTATTCTTTGTGTGTCCAGTGTTCATAAGCTGTTTTTCATGCTGGCTTGGCATTTCATCATGGCAACTGTCCCCTAATCACTTTTGTTCTTGTAAGCAACTCCATTCCCATTGCTTATGCAAGTAACCCCAATAAAAGCTGTTGGTTCAACAAGATGTATTTCAGGGGCAAGCATACTTGGTTCTCTTGTCAGTTCCCATTTTGGCTGAGTGCACATAAATGTTGTGTCTTGCCTGGGAAAGTCTCTCATATAAAATGTGCTGATCTCATTAATTGTCCTTCCAATCTTGTACACCAGAAAACCAACATTAGAGAGAAAGCATTTGGGTCAACTAAAGTAAGGAAGATTGTTTGTGCTCACTGCTCCAGGCTTACTACTATGGTAGTACATGGTTCCATTGAATGGGCTCAACACAGACAGAATGTCAAGGCTTAAGTAGCCTAAGAAAGAAGGCAACTCTCTCCCTTGCATTCATGGAAGAGAGTGAGAGGTCTTCGGTACCTAAATGAAAATATGGGTACAAGCCTGTGTTATTGCAGGACATCATCCAAACTGGGCTATGTCTATGCATGGTAAGGAACTCATGTTTAGACTCCATAATTCAGTCAACCTCCAGTGACACTCAGAACACTGATGTCCATGGGTAAAAACTGAACACTGTTTTGCTATCCTTGAATCCTCTTTTTCATTAGAAATTCCATTCAATAAGCCACAACAAATGAATCAAATTCTTTTTTTTAAGTCCTTAACACAGTGCTAATATGCAGACATAAGAAAATTCAACATGAAAGAAAACAATTTAATAAAGACACATATTCAGCTTAATTTGATGTGTGAGTCCATCCATACAAATATCAAGCAACTACGGGGCTTTAAAGAGATGAGCTATGAGGGAGAAGAGATGCACATGCTCTTATACAGCTTAGAAATCCCCAAGGGTGTGCTGGGAGATCATTTTGAAGGACTGTAAAGGAGGGGGAAATGTTTAGTCCAATTGCAATGTACTATATGAGAGTATTGACACTAAAAACAGCAAGACTCAAAAGTTTTAGACCTTAGATATGGTAGCATGTTACAATGCACAAAACCATATGACTACATAGGTGTTTCATGGCTTTTATTACAAGAGGATAGTCATGTTCAACTAATTGGGAAGTATTGCTTGAGAACATTTTGGTGTATTCGGTATTGGAGTTTCTTGAAACAAGAATGCAAATGGTTAGCACAACCTTGCATATATTCAGGCTCTTGGTATTGAAATACCATGTAGTAATTTGTGCCAATTGCTGCTGTATTAGGTCTATTAATCTGATGCAGGATACAGTGGAAATTTAGTCTTCTGGACTGGCCTTTAGCAATCTGGAGAATGCAACCAGCTGAACAGAAGCCCAGGATGCTAAAATTGGGTGTTCCATGGATCAAAATGCCTCTGCTTGATGACATTATGTTATTATAATAGGAAAGTCATCACAGATTTCCAATGGTAAATGTGTAGACCTGTGTACATTGAAGATATCTGACCTTGCTGTACTCCTCATACAATATTGTTTTCTTCATTCTGTACTCATTTATAAACACAGTTCTGGTGTATGACAGCAACACCTGGGGATCTGGGTAGGGCAAGCCAGGGCAGCCTGACCGCTGGAACTATGTGGAAGGTAGCCTGGACAGAGCGGGACAGATGGGATGTCAGTGAGGCTGAGACAATCACATGATCTGAGGAGTGAGAGGGAAATGAAGCAGAGGTTGTGTGAGGGTCAGGCTTGGAAATTTCAGAAGCATTCCTGCAAGTGCATGGGGAGATCTAGATTATAGGATCTGTGTTACCTGGACCCGGGTATGATGGACTGGAACACCCAGTATTCTCAGAGAGACCTAGGATCTACGTTGTTCAAAACCAAATAGAGGACACATGGTATCTGAATATATCTTCAGGACACGAAAGCTCTGCTCAGCTGCAAAACCCCCTGTGTAGCATCTGGGATTTATCAGTCAGCAGTGCAGTGGGGGAACCTGAAGCCCAGTGAAGATGCAGGACAGGGAAACAGGCATCAGGAACCTAACCTGGGGTTAGAGTAGTTTTTCTGCTGCTCTGCCTAAAGACATGCTCTCTACTTCTGTTGTGGGTATCTACCCATGTCTTTAAATCACATGCACTGGAGCTTATCAGGATTCTTTTCATTGGCCTTATGGTTGCCAGCATGGTCACGGAAGAGTACCCTGCAATCAGTGTTCTCATGCTATTGTGGCAATTACAAAGCTGCTCAAATTTAAATTCATCCATGGTTTATAACTCCCCCATTCTACCACTTGCCTAGTCAAGAAAGTAGAGTTTACTCCTGTCACTAGTGCTGTTTAGAAATCCGTCCCATGACACTGAGTGGTGGTTGTGCACACCTGTAATCCCAGCACTTGGGAAGCAGAGGTAGGCCTATCTTTGAATTTGAGGCCAGCTTGATCTACAGATTTAGTTCCAGGACATCTAAGGCTGTTACACAAACAAGACAAAACAAAACAATCTGAAAGACATTAGTCCCAGGAGAATCCAGTGCAGATCTGGTAAAATCTGAACATATGAGAAATATGCTTTACCAGCCCCACACTACTAGTTGAAAACACTGGCATTTATTATGCAATTTTTAAATACTTGTTAATTTTTCTTCTGACATGTATGAATTAGAGTATGGAAATACAGCATTCAGAAAATGTCTTTATTAAGAACTCATGATGCCTTCTTAATGTTACTTCTTAGAGTATGAAAGTGCAGTGTTATGTATGCTGGTAGGTAAATATCAAGTCACACTTTTTTTACACTTATTAAATGCATGATAGATTTGGACAAAATTGAAAAGCTTCTTTTAAATAATTCTAATCACTGAAATGTGTGAGAAAAATAGGCTCTAATTGTCCTTTGGTCCAACAAAAAGCAGTCTTCCATATATGCGTGGACAAATTGGCTTGACATTGTTTGCTTTTTGCTTTATTTTATTCAGTAAATGTGCCACTCTATAGTCCTATCTTGCTCAGAACTCACCCTGTAGACCAAGACTGGACTTACGTGGAATTTGCCTGCCTCTGCCTCCTTAATACATGGATTAAAGCAGTGTACCTACACAACTGCCTTAAATGCTCACTGTTTTAATTTGAGGATCTGATGACATTCAGTTTTATGGCTTTACAATTCTCTCAGGAGGAATGGCAATGCCAAGACCTTGCTCAGTGAACTTTGTATGGAGATTGGATGTTGCAGAATTACGACAATCTACTTTGTGTGGTTGAAAGTAGTTTTCCTGCAGTCTCACTTGCTCCTCCTCAGGAGAAACTATGCAAGTGTAAGAGCTTTGGTTGAATTAGTCTCACATTTCACAAAGGAAAGAAATTCTCAGAGGAGAAAAGTTAATTGCATGATATTTTATCTCTTCGTGTCTGTTCTGTTGGTAGGTGTAAGGCTTCTTTTCTTCTTGTTTCGTGATCAATTCAGAAGCTTGGTAGTGTAAAATATTGTCACCCCAAGCACTCAGTTCCATGTCAGCCCTTGAGTTTGGAATGATCTGTGATTACAAGTGGTGGAACTCAAGTTTTATTAACTGAAAATGTTCCCTAAGTATTTTCATTATTCTGACAAAATGGCAGTTGTATGTCATTTGTAGAATCTGTTTTGTTTACTCTTTATTTACAGAGTACAGTACTGTGTTCAAAATCTAGATGCTTTCAGAGGAATCTCTTTGTCATAGGCTAGGATTACTGATAAACCTGCAAACCTGTGAAGCAGAACCAAGAGGGCTGCATGGTTGAAACAAATGGTTATATTAGAGGGAGCTGAAGAGATGGCTCAGTAGGTAATAGCATGTATTGCTTTCTAAAAGGAAATGGGTTCAGTTCCAGCATCCATTTTATGCCTTCTTTTGACAGACACAAAAATAAGATTATATATGCTACAATGTTTTCCTAGAAACAATTGTGAAATGTTCTACTGGAAATAATCTCAAGATTATTTTATTGTATATGCTATTGGCCTTCTATGCTTCTATGTAAGAATACTAGGGAAAGTATAATTTATTTTGTTATGTTTGTGGACAATGGCAGCTTTATTTCATTCATACCACTTTTTTTTTTATTTTCCTATTACTTTCATTTATTACTTGAATTTTATTACACTGATTTTAGCATGTTGTAAAATTAGGAAAATAATTTCCATTTAGGCTTGTTTCCTGATCTCCTAACTGAAAAGATTTTATTATTTTTTTGGATTTTGTTTCCTTTGTGATTACTTTTCCCATTTCCCAGCAGGAGTTTTGGAGGAATTATTTAGTATTTCTGCAGAAACCTGACACAATTGAGAGTTTCTATAGCAACAATGCAGAAGGATAGTGCAGGAAGGAAAACATTAGGCCTTCTTTTGTGTCTTTTCTTTGAGGAGAATGCTATGAACTTAACTAGACCTGTCTGAGCATGGGTGGAAGGTTACTTACTGGATTCTGGGAAACTCGTAACTGGTTCCACCACCCTTCCACCACATGTTATTAGTTTTCAATAGACATTCTGGGAAGGTCCCAAACTCAGGCACACCTTCTGAGCTGTGATGAATTGTTGGCCTCTGAGTCTCCTGAGGCATTGTGAAAATGACCAAGGTAGTATGGTCAGGACAGTATGGTCAGGACCAGAAGTTTCTTCCCTGCATTCTTCCTCAAACTGCCTCTGGCTCTTCTATTCTTTCAACTGTATCTCCAAAGATGTTCCTGTGACCTGGACAGGTTTGTGAGGAGAAAAGTACGGGGGATCAGAATAAAGCAGATAGAAAAAATTGGCTCAAGAGTTCTTACATGATCTGTGTCTTATGACAAGAAAGTTTATTAGTGCCTTCATCCAGTAGCTGATGGAAGCAGACACAGACACCCACAGCTGAACTCTGGAATCCAGTTGCAGAGAGGGAGGAGTGATGAGTAAAGGGGTCAAGACCAGGCTGGCGAAACCCACAGAAACAGATGACCTGAACAACGGTCATAGCCCCCAGACTGATAGCAGGGAAACCAGCATAGGACTGATCCAGAACCTGAATGAGGATGTCAGTTTGGAGGTCTGGTTAATCTATGGAACCTCTGGTATTGGCTCAGTATTTATTCCTAGTATGTGAATGGACTTTGGGATCCCAATCCACATAGGAGGGATA